TTTTGGGACACCCTGTAGAACCTACTTACTAGCACAAATGATGTTCAAATCGCGCTATTGTCCTTCTTTTGGTGTTACTGATATACCAATCGTTCTAATGTACGTGCTTCTCTTTTGTTTAAATTACATGCAAATGCTGTCTAATAATGACTTTAATACTTTACTAACGCAGGGAAAACCCTTCATTCTGTAAGATTTCGAAATTCTATTTTATAAGCATGTATAAATATGGCGATTTGAGCCTGTTTGAGGAACAATTGCATTTATTTATTGACCTGGACGAAAGAACTGATCGGTACAAATTTTCAAGTCATTAATTACATGGGTGAGTCTAAATTTAACTATATAGGCGAGAAAATCGAAAGTTTGTGTAAGTCAAGACGGAATCATCCGATACACCTATTGATTAAACATTAATTTCTTTTCAATTTTTTTCATGATTGATGTTTGTCGAAAGATTTAATTAATCCACCAATTTACATCTGTTTCTTGAGGGAGTTTGTCCGTTATTTTAACCGAGTCAAATCCGAGCCCGAGTCAAATGTCCGAGTCATTGTTCAATCGATGGTCTTTGCAGTTCAATGACTTGGTACCCTAATCCTAACCATAATCCCACTCCTAACTCACCCTAACCCTATTCAACTGTGAATTTTATTCAGTTTCAGAGTTTGTCGGTTATTGAACACGGAAACATTATTCAGACCAAAATAGCCCAGACTTGGCATATGTCACACAAAAGTATCCTCGATCTTTCGCCTATAATGCATTTCTTTCACGATTAATCGATATCCCCTACAAGAATGATACCGTATAACTCTCAAGACAACGATGCTTTAATCAAAGAGCTTAAATTCGCTCTAAAATCCGTGAGGGAATGACAAAATTTGGCCAAAATATATGATATCCGCGTGCCGGGTTTGCTGTGCAAAAAGCGGAAGTCGTCGAACAACTCATCCTGGTTCCCCAGTGCTTCTAGCCCTGGGGACGAGGATGTGAACAACTCAAAATACACTCAACCCAATCTCGAATCCAGAGCAATGCCTGTGCGCGGGCTAGGATGGCATTGGCTCTGAGGAAATTGGATTTTTCCTGTGCTGTGATTGGTTTAACTTTTATCAATCGTGCATGCCGACAAAGAACCTAACCCCTAAATTTAGGGGTTCCGGTTGTCAATTTCCCCAGAGCCACAAAATAAATAATAAGACCAGAAGTCTCACTCGATGTCGGAATCTTTGATGTTGATGTCCCCGCGCATGTCGCCTCGCGCATCTTGGCCGTGTCTCGTTTCCAGTGCCCTAAACAAGTGTAATTTGACAAATTTACATGTAAACATTAAGGAGTGAGGAAGTTAAAACGATACCAATCGAGTTTTAGAGCTTTGGTGACCATTTTAAAAGAATATATCATAAATTCAAAGGTAAGTCTATCGTACTGCATTGTCTTAAATGAATTCTCAGCTGAAATACGGCAATAAATGGATCATAAACGTAGCTAAATTTACTGTTGACAACGAGGTTGACAGATCCATTGCTTTTTTGCCTTGAATAGCTTTACCATAGTCATTTTACCTTAAAATGTAGCTACTGAGGATATCTCTAAGAGATTTACACAGATTATTTGCACAATCTCACGATTTAATCATGCTGATAACATGAAAATCCTTGTGCCATTCTATACTTGGCATAATCTCTACATCAATAGTTCACCAGTTCACTAATATAAATTCAATATATTTTTGAACCAGTCCATATATTATTATACACAATGTAGTATAGTTAATTTGACCATATTTGAGAAGTAAGGGTGTATTTCATTACACAGACACTGCTGAATTTTAGGTTACATGCCATTGGATTGATATATAAAAAACACTTGTAAAACACACACATTATTTTTATCTTGTTGATAGAATAGTTATTTGCAGTATACTAACTGTTGGCATACTCTATTTCAGGACTATCAATTGTTTTTGTCACTGACAGTCTTTGAAATACAATCTTGCTCTGTGGCCTTTACTGACAAGTTGGCTTTTACTACATATGTGGCACTGACACTTCTTTAATTAATGCACTAGTCAACGTAAACCCCCGAACTGGGGAAGGGCAGGGATTTTGACTTGGAGGGGTAGTAAAAGAGCGAAATTGGCCCCGCCCCCAGGGACATCAATGTACCCTGCATGTCTCTCAACCCCAGGAAAATAGTTTTGTATAATCATAGATCAGCAATAGAAAATCAAATTCATTTATGTTATTGTATTTAAACTTTTCTTGTCAAGAAAACTAAAACAGCAACACAGGATATATATGTTAACCACTGTCCAAGTCTCCCATCATCGGGGACAAATTTATAATCAAAACTGACCACTTTCCCCGTAAACCTTCCGCCCCTCCCCGGTTGGGGGCAGGGATTTACATTGACTGGTGCATAACTAGATGATTGCATAAAGCATTGCATGGAAGTTGATTTATAATTAGTTTATGAATAAACTCACACTTTCATTATAATGGTTGATCGAATATATCAAATGCATTTGATTGGTTGATGGTCCCTTAATGGTAATGGTGTCAAATCTGAACCTATATAATGTCAATATACTGGAAAAGTATCAAATTAAATTTTAATTGTCAATGTTGTGGGAAGTAAATAAATCAAACAATTCTGTTTGTTTCAACTAACTAGTTCACTATCACTTTGGTTTTCAAATCAAAGAATCTTTAGCCTGGTTGAGCTTTTGAAAAAGTAGCTGCTTGATTGAACCCAAGATTATTTTACTCTATCTAACACCAGACTCAATCAGAGCTCAATGAGCAGCAGCACTCTCCCTCGATAAGTAAAATCAGCTGGCATTAGATGAAGTGAAATAAACTAGTAAAGTAGGGTGCATTGGGGCACAATGCAGCTTACTGGGTTAACTGGAAAATATATTTATTAAACAATACACACCCTATACTTGTATTTTCAATTCACAGCATGATTTGGTATGCTTATGTCTATTTGACCCAACTACCTGACAGGATTATGATATTTGAATCACACCTGTATTCATTGAACAAAGCTAATCTAAATGTACATTAATTGTACATGAACCATGTAAATGTAAAAACTAGCTAGAGCAAAAACACACCCACACAGCTTTGTTTTTTTATTTTTCTTGAGAAGGAATAACTGAGACTACTGAGTTACAATGAGAGTCACTACAGAAACTGTATTCTGTGATATAGATGATATTGCTTTAAAGAAACTTGCAGCTTTTAGCAGTTGTGTAAGGGCCTGTTTATATCGAACCTGGCTGGCCCGCTAAGTGAGACAGCCCGGTAAGTGAGATCTCGCTGTCTAGTTATTTTTATAGTACAAATTATCATTTCTATGGACAAGCAGGCAGGCCCGGTTGCCAAGACCAGGATGGAAATTTCTCCACATAAACAATCATAAGCAGGCTAGCCCGGTTGCCGGGATGAAAGTTCAAAGATACTGCCGCAAGCTATTTTTAACAACTGTCAAAATAATGTCAATGAAAACAACAAAATTGTCCCGGTAAGCGGAATGAAATTTTCTCAAATAAACACAAGAGAAATCATCCTGCTTACCTATACCTTACCGGGCTGTCTTGCTAAGCGGGCCAGCCCGGCTTCCATACAAACAGGCCCTAACAGTCTCTGTCAGGCAATTGCAATGTTCTAATGTCCAAACTCTAAAGTATTATAAATAAGTAGTAAGTCTGTAGTAAGTTGCTAGTAAGTCATATCAACATGTGATCTTGACAATATACAGTGTATAAACTAAAGTAATTCAGCTTCTACACATGAAGCGACTTTAAACACTATCCTTACACTTTATCAATTCATTGAAGTTTGTACTTAAAAGACATTCTATTTGTAGTATTAAATATAAGACATATTCTATTTGTAGTATGAAGTCACATCAGGATTTTATAATCTAGCGTCTTTGGACCCAAGGGATCTCGAGTTCTATCTTGTTAAAACCTATCCAAGGAAAAACAAGAAAGGGATATTGAAGTAATGGTGTTTTTGAGCCAAATAAATTCGAATATCCACAAGTATAAAAGCAGAACTCCGTATATACCGGAGACAAAATGGCATCATAGCGAACACATTTTAATGATGCTCAAATTTATATTCAGTGCGCTATATTTTTAAAAATATGACCCTGTTTGCTTTCTAAATACAACAAAATTACTGCTTTACCTTCTGTTCAAATAGTTCCACAGGTAAATCGAAGTCACATTTCGTACTACTTGAAAAAAAGCTGTTTTTACTGTAGGAATGACAACTTCCCAATATAATTTTCTATTGTCAACACTGCATTACACTTGTTTAGCTCGCGCATGCGCAGTATAAAAGATCGGACATGTTTCCGCTTGAGTAAGACTTCTGGTCCTATTATCTATTCTGTGCCAGAGCCAATACCATCCTAGCCCGCGCACAGGCATTGCTCTGGGTACGAGATGGCACTCAACTCTGATTGGGCAACGAATATCGGCAAATACAGAGCTAAGCTATATATATATATATATATAGCTTAGCTTAAGATTTTGGTTTACGAAACACAAACAGTGCTCAATACCATATAGATAGAGCGTAATATAGTTTTTCGTTTTACCTCAAAGAACCACAACAGTCTGTTTCATCCGTATAGGAATCATCAGGTGGTGAATAATTTCGAAATTGTAGGTTGCTTTTATGCTATCGAAAGAATCTATATATATATATATATATTAAAATTAGTAAAATTGCAAAATTTGGCCGCGAAATGTTGTAAAATGCGGAAAATAAATCCCTACGAAATTTTCAAATTTTGTATTAATTTGTAGCTGTGTTGGTGTAGTGCCCGGTGTGGATACACACTCAGAGTAACATCACATAAGCAATTTGTAGCTGTTATACACGGGAAAATGCACCAGATTTGGGCTAAAGTGGTGCATTAATTTTCTCGTGATACAAAATTTGCAAATTTCGTAGGGCTATATTTTCCTCATTTTACAACCGGCTGATCTCGCAACCAAACATTGCAATTTTACTAATTTTAACATGCTCTTACTAGCTGTGGTGATGGATTTTGTTCTTCTTGCCTAGATCAATTAAATCAAATCATAATACAGGATACAAGTTTTGATCATCTCGTAGCGCTGAATTGACGATTCCCCTTATTACGTTTTCGTAGCGCTCTACATTGTGGTTATAGTGGTATCACTGATATTCAAGATGGCTTATTTTTTGTCCTGACCCGTGCAAGAACTTTTAAAAAAAGCTAGGGTCAGGTGCGTGATAGCTAACAGCAAAATATTCGCGAAAACATTCAATATTATCATTCGAGGCCGCTATCTTTATCAGTGATACCACTATAACCACAATGCAAAGCGCTACGAAAACGTAATAAGGGGAATCTAGAATTGATAAATTGGAAGATTGGATAAAATTAATTTTTTCATCGATCATGTTCTTTAGATATCAAGATTTTAAACTTCAAACACGTTGGGCTGAAAATTTTGCTATTGTTCAGCATGCTGGCAGTTGTGGAATCTAGTTCGGAAATAACAGGTAATTCGAAACTTTAATAATTATTCTTTTTACATATATTTCTTCAAGGGTGGGTTGACTACAAAATTTTTGTAGTTCGCTATAACTACAGCTACTTCAAAAATATGTAGTCAGCTACAACTACTGCTACTTTTGAACAAAGGTAGTTCGCTACTGACTACAGCTACTGTTTAAAAAATGTAGCGAACTATTTCGCTATTTCGCTACTCTATATATTTTAGTTTTACGGTATTTGGAGCATCCACTAGCTCAGGCTGTAATATAACCTATAGCAAATCGACTTACGAGTAGCAACAGTAAACAAAAAGGGTCAAAGCATCATTTTTGTAAGCACTACAGTGTTCAGGAGTGCCACTTTTCATTGCGCTAAAATAATCTTTAGGCCTACTGTATAAAATAATCTTTACCGTGTCTTAATATCATTCTATTCTATGAACGGTTGCTAACAATTTTAAAAAGTAGCGAATAACGATTCGCTGTTTGAAAAGTAGTCAACTATTCTGCTACTTTTAGGCAAAATGTAGTTCGCTATAACTACAACTGCTGTTCAGTTTAAAAAAGTAGTCAAAAACTACTAGTGGCTACTTGAAAATTGTAGTTCGCTACAGCAGCGAACTACAACCACTTCGCTACCCCACCTTGTATTTCTTGCATGGTATTATAATACTTGAAACAATTCGAACCAATGAAATGAATAGATAAATCTATAGTTTAATTTGGTTTGGTTATTGTATGCAGTCGCTTGTATCTATAGAAGAAAACAAAGAAATATAGTTTACTCAAACCTATAGCTACCAATGCCCGATTCTTTTGTTTTAGAACCGCAAAGAGAAGTGATCTCAATATACAAAGATGACTTTACCACCCCGCCATCCAGACCTCAATATTTCATCGAAGTTTATCGCTGTGTTAAACTTGAAGTTGGCGAATGCTCTAGCAGTGGACCGTCTACGTACCCGGTTCCAAAAACAACGAACGAAATTGAGATAGTGGTTCCGGATATAACAAACAAAGATAGCGATTCTAGCGATAAAAAGAAGTTTTATAAATATGTGGTCCATAATCACACGTCTTGTCAATGTGGAAACTTAAAGTACAGGAATGGTAGACTGTATAAAACCATAGCTATATATAATAACGAAGGTTAGTCCAGCTTACACTGAACAAATAGAGCATTTGCACATGACGTCACAGCCGCCATGTTGGTGTTCCAATAGACAACTTGCATGTTAGACTAATTTTTGATCTAGGCAAAAAAGTGTTAATTCCCGTAAAGAACTTATTAAAATTAGTAAAATTGCAAAATTTGGTTGTGAATTGTTGTAAATACGGAAAATATAGCCTTGCGAAGTTTGCATATTTTGTATATGTTTGTATTACGTGCGGAAATTGTTACCATTTTTGAGCCGAAAATAGTAACATTTTCCGCACCTAATACAAACATATACAAAAGTTGCAAACTTTGCAAGACTATATTTTCCAAGCATTACAACATTTTGCAACCAAATTTTGCAATTTTACTAATTTTATTATTTTTATTGTTAATTTTATTATGTTCTTTTTAGCTTGTGGTGTTCGATTCCCTTCTCTTTACAATTAGATTAAGATTTAGTCTAACATGCAAGTTGTCTATTCAAAAGAATTTTAATTAGATTCTTTTGTCTGGAACACCAACATGGCCGCCATGGCTTTTGTTTAGTTGGTCCCTGGGGAATGAGTGCAAACGTTCTAAAACCGTGCAATTACCTAAAATGAACATGTTTTGTGATTAACTTTCTTTCATTCCGTTTAGAAAATTTGTTTTGTAGCTTTTTTGTTGCCCAAAAAACTCCAAAACTATTGAAATGACGTAAAATATTGACAGGGTGCATATATTATCTTCGTAAAGCGCAGGATTTTCTGCTCTTGGGAATTTAAAGCAGCTTTTAATTCTTGAACAGTTTCTTTATGCATAAAATTTATTTATGTCAAGATTTTATGCACGTGTGGGTTCAGCAGAGTGCATGCTGAGGCATTCAAATTCTAACAATACGATATTTCAATTGTTTTTTTGGGACACTCTGTATAAGTTGCCAATACAACCAGGGGAACAAGGGAGCTCTCCCCTCATCTCTGAGTTAAATCTGCCATGGTGGAAAACAGGTTGTGCTTGGTTCTTTCCTGTACACGGAGTGATTTTCTCCGTGATTTCTGCCCCGGGTTTTCCTCTCCCATAAAAAAAAGTAACCATTCCACCTTAGCTGCACTCCATTGCGAAAACCCGAGGCGCAGTGGTCAGCCTTCGACCCAGTGACGCTTCACGTAATTCAGGTCTCAGCTGCAAGGAAAGGTGATTTTTACACCGTAACTTTAATCTGTATGAATTTTTCTTGCAGTGTCAGCAGCTTATTTCAAAGCGAAGTTTTCAAAAAATCCAGTCAATCTGATACGTGTGTGTAACGTACGTTTGCAACAGTACTCAACCAAGATATAAACTCCATCCAAACCATATCAACGTTGTCTTACCATATAAATATCTGGCGTACCAACAGTGCTTGCCTGGCTGCGTAGTGGTAAAAAACGAAACGCCTAACAAGCAAACTGACATGCTATCTGGTAGTTCCAAAAATGTCCTGCTAACAAATGATATTTCATGCAAGTCTTACGACGGAGCTAAAACACAACAACAAGGTCAAAATCATCCTCAGAAGCTCAAAAGATCATCCTCAGAACCTCCAGTTGGAAACTCGTGTGATCAAGGTAAGAAATCAAAGGTCTGGTTTCTACTAGACATAAATTATCCATCCCGATAATTTTCGGAAAAGAGAAGATAGTTCGTCTGAAAATTTATATCCGACAAACACAATATTATATGGCGTATTAGAGAGGGAGCATAATAGAGTGGGTTTATTAGAGAGAGAAGCGTATTAGAAAGGAAACTTAATATGGAGGGCTGCGAGGGCATAATCCATCTTGATGAATGATTCCCTTCTTTGCTGTGTTTGTATACAAATAAATTATTTTCTTTGCTCAAGTTCGTTCAGGCTGATCATCTTTAATAAATTAAACCTCTAGAACAGTTTATAAATCTAATCATTATAGAAATACGTTTTTCGGTTATGTGGGCGGGGTCGAGGAAGCTTAAGAGAAGCGAATCATATTGGCCAGATGGCGTATTAGTAGAGAGAAGATTATTAGAGAAGGAACTTAATAGAGAGGGGCTTATTAGAGAAGAGGCTCAATAGGGAGGGGGCCTTATTAGACGGGGGGATTGATAGAGAGGGTATCAGAATTTACGCAATAGAAAATTGATAAATTAACATGAATTATTATGTTTCTGGTCAGAGCCAAATTATGAGATTCTAGTTTACATTGCTTCGGGAAAAGTTATCCTCGCCGCGTTTCTACTGTCGTTGGTGTTATTTACTATATTGATTATGGACTTCACTCTTTGCCGTCGAAAGAAAGGATTTCTTTACGCTCTGCTTGGCTGTAAAAGTGATGACGCGGATCATGTTTGTCAACGTTGCAGCGAAAGAAATAGAAGTGAGATTGCAGTGTAAAACACAAGTAAGTACGAAGACCTAGTGCACAACGTCGAACTTTTCTTATGCCGAGCCAAGGAGCTGAAACAATGAGTTTAGGTAGGGCTCATGCTGAAACATATATATAGCTATAGATCTAATTCGATTTTAATGACATTGATTAAAGAATATTTTTTTAAATCGTAACATGTGTTTCTCTCATTATTCATTATCAATACATGCATGGGAAACCACACAGAAAATCATGACCGTGCATGAATGAAAGAGCTTGTACCTCTGATACTAAATATTAGCTTGCTCATTTACAAAAAGCTCACAAAATATTAAACAGCAATATGGAATTTTTCATCATAGAACTGATAGCCGATAGCCTACGCCTTGCCCCCATGAATCTTAGGAATTCCAAACTAAATTTTTTGGGGAATTTTTAAGGATTATCAATTTTAGAAGTGGGAATGTTAAATATTTAAAATATTCCTCATCCACCCCCGACCATGTGTATATGCATGTGTAAAATTTCTTGCAAAACTTATCAAAAATCAATAGCTTGTCTTCAAGAAGTTAATGCAGGAAATCTTCAGTCAGTTGATCTTATCTCGAATAAATATCTACACTGTCTGAATATCTACAATATCTTCAATACCTTATTAAACATGAGCAATAGCAATGAACTTTACAAGTTCGGCTAGTGAAGAAATGTACGAGTATTAACTACTTGTTATATTTGATATTGCATTTATAAAATATGATTATTATCGTTGGTGAAAGAAATTGTTCTGGTGTTGGTGAAAGAAATTTTGTCTAATCTCTGCATGGAAGCCTCCATTTATTATCTGTGTTCGGCACCTAGCAAGGGCCCATTGAATTGGTCATTGAAATATACCTTTTTTTGACTGAAATAGGTGCCCAAATATTTGTGACCCTCCCTTCTAGATGGGCCCCAAAAAACTTGGCCCTCCCCAAAAAGGGGCCCAAGAAATAGTAACCCTCCCCCTAAATTTACCGGTCCTCCCCCCCAATAATTAATGACCGCTCCCTTAACCCATACAAATATTTCTTTAGATTACAGACAAGCTTTTCACCATTTTCTCCTTCCTAGTTTCATAACCCTTCGGTTGTTGAATAAAAGTATCGCAATCAATAGGATCATATCAGCAAATATGCCGTTTTGACATCCATCTGATGCACAAGCATATTATTTTGTACTGCATGTTGCATCAACACACGTCACACGAACTGAACTCATTCGGGCTGTAGGGACAAACGTCTCGTGATATAGTCTACGCCAGGGATTTTGGAGTAACCTTTGGCTACATAGTTACCTAGCCTTACCTAGCCTCACAGTCCTGTGGGGGTGGGACAAGTGTAAAAGTTTCATTACCTACTAGAGGTGTGCATCGGATCGGATTGGACGTTTATAATCCGACAATTGGCTAATGTTTAAAATCCGATCCGAAATTGTCTAATCCGATCCGAGTTTTAATAAAGAATTCCGATCCGATCCGAATAATCCTTTAATAAAATAAATTTCTCATTCAAGTGGAAATATTTAACCAAATAAATATAAAAGCAAGAAATACATGCCAAGAAGCTGACGAAGTGACGTCCAATTGAATTATCAAACGAATAATGCAGCGACAACCGCGTTGTCGTGGTTAATTAATTCATTTTATTTCGAATATCGAAGTCCGATCCGATCCGACTACGAAACAACTTTATCAATCCGATCCAATCCGAAATGAATATTTTTGTTCCGAAATCCGAACGAATCCGATCGCATCGGACTTGGATCGGGTTCGGATCGGATTTGCACACCTCTATTACCTACTAATGAGTCTACCCCTTCATCCATAGCCCTTTTCCAATTTGTCGCCTCTGGGGAACTCGCTACTTTTGAATAGGAGACTGGAACATCAGTCATTCTAAAAGAATAATCTACAGCATGGTTATACTATTGTCAACAACACTTTCAACAACATACTCACTTAGATAAGATCACAAGAGGGTTTGTTTTGAGCCCTAGTTGGGTACCTTGTTGTACCCTCTTGTACCTCTTGCAAGGCCTCGTTCTCTGCTTCATTCACAATTGGAATTTTGCTCTACATCAGGCAATACACTAGGCACAGTGTCAACCTCTTCATCAGTTGAAAGGACCTCGTTCTCAGGGCTTAAAAAATCAAAGAACTTAACAAACCTAACACGCTCAACCCTCCTGCTTTCGGATAATATACTAAGTAAGATTCCTTCGTTACTCCTGGGTTCCAGCTTTTTAGCATTCTGCACATAAGCATACTATCATAGCATACCCAGAAATAGGAAATCCCATTCCGATTATGCGCTTTCCATCTGGAGTGACTGACCGGAAGGCACTGAAGGGTTGTTTACCATTTACATGGAAAACCCATTCGGTTTGAATTAGATCGCGAAGAGCCTGGAACAATGGAACAAAATTCACTGGTTGAAACGTTCCAATCGGTAAGAGAGGACAACCTTTTCAAACAAACCGTTCATTCCGGAAAAGTTCCGGTTGGGCCGTCGAAATATGCTTGTTCCATTTACTTTAATTTCCGTATGGACAAAAAAACTTTAACGATTTAAACTTCGTCGAAGACTTTAAAACGTTACCTTTCTCCGTAATCTATGGCGTCGCTGACCCTGATGAAAAACTCGATATATTAAATTCTTTAATTACAGAATGTATTGAAAGACATGCGCCGCTAAGACGAACCAAGATCACGAGACCCCCAGCACCATGGCTCAAAGATCCTACCATCCAAGATCTACAGGAGCAAAGAAACGTTCTCCAAGCCAGTGCTCGAAGAAGTAAGGATGCCCAAGCGTGGGAACTATTTCGTTCAGCTCGCAACCGCCTCAAAGCATTAATTAAAACTGCTAAAAAGAAATTCACGCAAAAAATGCTTTCTTCTAAGAAACCCAAGGAAGTATGGAAAGTAATACATCGCATCTTGCACCCAGAGCCGCGTAGGATCACCTTTCACCCTGACAAACTCAATTCTCATTTTACTTCAACGGCAGAACGTACAATCGGCACTGACGTCAATGATAATAACAACAGTTACGACACTATAAGAAACATGATCGATTCGCTTCCCCCAGACTACGACAATGGCTTCCATATAAATCCTGTCACACTGGGCGAAGTTGTAAATGAAATACGTTGTCTACGAGGAGACTGTTCCACAGGACCAGATCACATTCCAGCAAAAATGATCAAGATTGTGGCCGAATATTTGGGTTCTCCATTAACCGATATCATTAACACCTGTATCGCGAATCGAAGCTTTCCGTCCGCGTGGAAGATTGCGCGTATTTGCGCAATCCCAAAAGTTAAGCAAATCACCTCTGAAAATGACCTGCGGCCCATATCAATCTTGCCAGTACTGTCGAAAGTGTATGAACGCCTAATCTTTCGCCAGCTTTCCAAATTCATCGATGACAACAAATTACTGAGTAGCACCATCTCTGCATATCGAAAGGGCCAATCCACCACAACGGTCATGCAAGCCATACGAGATGACATCACGAAAGCAATGAGTCGTGGAGAAGTCACGATGATGATCTTCGCTGATTTCTCGAAAGCTTTCGATACGATCCGTTTTAAAAATCTCATCTCGAAAATGAGCAAACTGGGCTTCTGCAAGGATTTTCTTACATGGACACTAAATTATGTCTCACATCGTAAACAGTACGTTCAGATTGATGATATTAGATCGAATACAACAAATGTTAATTTCGGCGTACCACAAGGATCGATATTGGGGCCGGTTTTATTTAATATATACGTTGCCGACCTTCAAGAAATTATCGACGCCAAAAGCCATCAATATGCTGACGACACAACAATCTATGAGCATGCTAAGGTCAAACATATTCATAGATGTAGAGAAACCATATCTGATTCAATGAAAAAACTCAACGACTGGTCAAATAATAGCAGCCTTGCCTTAAACCATAAGAAGACAAAAGCAATGCTTTTCTCAACTCAACAAATGTCAAGAGTCCACCAATTGGAAAATTATGAACCTAGAATATTTGTCAACGAACACGAACTAGAGCGCATAAAGTCATGCAAGTTGCTTGGCGTTCATTTCAACGAACACCTAAAATGGGACAACCATATCCGTCACATAACATCTGCCTTCTACGCCACCTTGCAAATATTAAGGAAACTTAAACATCTAGCTTCTTATTACCTTAGAAAACAGTTAGCTGAAACGCTAATATTATCCAAATTGGATTATGCTGATGGTGTTTTCTATCCACTCCCGCAGTTTCTATCAAGGCGCTTACAGAAAGTTCAATTTGCAACTGCTAGTTTTGTCTTGGGTCGATATGTTAAAGATCAAAAGGATATCCTGGAAGTTGGATGGCTTCCAGTTAACGAAAGAAGAGACCTAAACATCCTGAAATCGAGTTTCAAAGCCATGTATTTCCCAGAGTGGCCAGAGTATCTAAAGCTAGAACGACAAACTTGCGTCCGAGAACTGCGCTCAACCAATGCAGTTAGACTAGTCGTGCCAAAAGAAACTGGAACGTTTCAACATAGTGCTGCGAAACTTTTTAATTCCTTACCTGAGAACATCAGGAATTGTACAAATTACAAAGTATTTTTAAAATTAACTAAAGAACTTTTATTCGAAAGAGCACGCCAAAACTAGTTTTTAATCCGAACATCGATTTTATCTAATTTCAACACTTAAACGTTATAGTCCATAGTTATAGAATAGAATATAGTATTTAATTGGTATTTTAACAGGGAAGAGCCATATGTATGGATCTGTTGAATAAATCGTTATTATTATTATTATTATTATTATATTATTGTATGGAATCACCGGAATTTCCATGTAAATGGTAAAAAACCCATATGTCCACATCATTTTAGGCTAATTAGCTTCTAGCAACAAGCATCTTGCCATATTGAATAGGCTTAGCCAAGATCTCTCAGCAGTCCCATGCATTTTGATGGGGTGAGTATACGGAGCTTAATCTTATTCTCACGGAGGAGAGATTCAAATTTGTGCCCTACAAATTCTCCACCATTATCACTTCTGATACACTTAATCTTACCAATAGGAGCAGTATGCGCTAAGAATTGCGTAGTTGCTTCCAGTGTATCAGATTTTTTGCAAAATAATACTCTACGCTGATGACATGCACTCTTCTATATTATTCCTCCAATTCGGTCAAAGACATTGAGCTATGCGTTAATGAAGATCTTCATTCAATCTGTAAATGGCTTGATGAAAATCTGCTAACACTAAACTGTGAAGTTCCCGCTTCTTTTTGGCGGTAACCGTCGCCTAAAAACATTCACCAATATCTCCATATACGTTAACAACCAACAACTTGCTCGAGAGCAAACTTTTAAATATCTAGGAATCACCTTTTCAGACAATCTCACTTGGTTCGATCACATAAGTAATGTATCGATAAAAATTAACCAACGTATTGCATTGCTTAGAAGAGTTAAAGTCTTCATCCCATTAAAAGCTCGACTTACAATCTACAATTCTCTCATCCTCCCATTATTCGACTACGCTGACATTATATGGGGTGATAAGAACAACACCACCCTCATGGATCAACTACAAATCCTTCAGAACAAGGCTGCAAAAACTATTCTTGACGCTCCTTACCTATCCTCCTCCACTGAAGCTATCTCAAACCTACACCGGTGGCACCCACTTACCCACCGGCGATACTTACATCGAATGCTGACCATATTCAAATTGAAAAATAACCTGATAGATTATGACTTCGACCTACCTAAAGCCAACCACCTGCATAACACGAGACAAAGAGATCACATTCATCTCAGCAAACCTAGTACCAATTGGGGAAAGCAGAAACTTCTATACCAAGCTTGTAAGGAGTATAATGATTTGGACAAAAACATTAAATCAACCAACCATCTAGCTAGTTTTCATACTGCACTTCTTAAATCTCCATAGTATAATCGAACGCATTTTGCGACTAGCTCTTCTTTGTAATATATATATATTGCATTTTGCGACTAGCTCTTCTTTGTAATATATATATATATATATATAAATGTTACATCTGGCGTCTCCCAGGGGTCTATTCTTGGGCCCCTTCTTTTCATTGTTTTCTTCAATGATTTTTCATCCTGCCTTAAGCACTCAAATGTCACACCTTTATCATCTAACTGAAACTCTCATCTGATATGAAAGCAATTGCCGAATGGTGCGTTGAAAATGAATTGATCTTGAATACTAATCCAGGCAAAATAGAATCAATGATGTTTGGTACTGCCAAGAACCTGGCACAACAACCGCAGTCTTTGAAAGTAACATTTGGAAATCAATTGATCAACGCTACAACGACATACAAGTACCTAAGGTGTCCATATTGACCATTCGTTGAATATGAATTCCAACTTTAACATCATATATAAGAAGGCCTGTGGGGAAGATTGAGACTATTACGAAAGATAAGACTCTTTCTCAATACGCTGGCGGCAAAGGCGATTTATCAAGGGATGATTGTACCCATTTTGACCTACTGTGGTCTAATAAATTTGCACGTAAGCCAGTCAAGAGATAGCCTGCGCGCAGACTATATAATGACATAAATAGTCTGCGAATCCGTGGCATGAAGCTTGTATGGTCACGTGAATTTCCCAAGAAAAGTTGGGACGAATTGTGATTGGTTGAACTATAATTATGCAGAATTAATGTTAATTCATCGGACATTGCGTTCGCAACGCGCGTTGAGCTGTTCAAAATTGACCGTTTCCAGGGTCAAATGACAATGTTTATATTACAGTTGTATTTATAGAAGTGTGGCGGATATTAAGATAAACAAGAAAGGCCGTTGTAGAAGAAATCTATAATATTACATCTTCTGTTTAGCGAAATGGGCTTTCCGTTTTGAAAACAACGGCCTTTTTTGTTTATCGCCACACTTCTATAAATACAACTGTAATAAACATTGTCATTTGAGTCATTTGACGATTTTGACCCTGGAAACGGTCAATTTTGAACAGCTCAACGCGCGTTGCGAACGCAATGTCCGATGAATTAACACTAATTCTGCATAATTATAGTTCAACCAATCACAATTCGTCCCAACTTTTCTTGGGAAATTCACGTGACCATACAAGCTTCATGCCACGGATTCGCAGACTATATATGTCATTATATAGTCTGCGCGCAGGCTAGTCAAGAGAGGATATTAAACTTCCGGCATTTCATCATCGTGCTTTGGATATTATTAGGTCAAATACTAAGTATGAATGCGATATCAATTCACCTGCCATTATCAATCAAATAAAAGCCTGTTAGTTGGTTAGAAATTGTCTGGATGGAAATGTCTGCTCCAATTTTATGAACTTTTAGCGCGAGTATTGATTTGTTATAATGTTTGTAAAAATACGTAGAAGTGTAGAACGCTAATAGATAATTTGATACATTTATTTTACTTCACAATTGTGGAGTCGGCATTTAATATCTAGTGATGAGTTGAGCACGATTACTCGAGAGACCGCAAAGCCAAGACTGTCCAGTTAGTAGAGGCGAGGCGGAGAAGCAATTAAGATTAGTGTCAAGATAATTAAGGCGCGTTAATACAATTAGGCTAGAAGTGATTGCCAAGAGGAAATTTTATGTAGGCGAGTCTACTTCCTAAAAGGTTTAAAATAATATGACTAAAAATAATGTTTGTAGAAGTTCCAAAAGTTATTAACGTCTTTGAGCCAAAACAGCATAATATCCGCTTAGTGATATCAGGTGACTATCACTACAAACTACTTTGAGATAAACGTTTGCATATGAAAGATCAACCCGAAACAGTGGATATCAACTGAAACTACCGAAAATCCGATTGGAATATAGTTGACGATCCTTTTAGAATATGGGGGCAAAATTTTAATATTTTTAATATTAACATTTTAACTTATTTGTGCATGTTTAGGTTTTTAGGTTTACATGTTTACAGGACTCACATTGATAACAGTTCTCTTTGGACTGAAGTGATCTATATCCTGTATAAATATTCGATGTAAATGAGTGTCCGTTGAAACCTTTTTCTTGTTCTTCTGCTTTCTTCGCTGATTCTCTACCTCCGGAGTTCGTTCAACATTCCTTCGTTTCATGAGTTTTACTTTTACAAATGTTGCACCACTACCGGGTGGCCCAAAAAAAAGTACTCCTGTTTGATTCGTAATAACATCTAAACAAGTATAGCTTTTAAAGAGAAATAACTTGCATCAAATAGAGGAAGGACTAACTTAGACTTTGATATATTACAGTTGTATTTCACTTAAAAATTCACGGAGATATTAATCTTTAAATTCGGGAGGATATTTCTGGATGTGTCTGAAATATGCAAAAATCGGCGTATCAAATATTAATCGAGATTTGCCCGACTGAAACATGCACTATTACCAGTAAATAAATGACACTTGACAAATTGTTTATTATGAAACAAAGTATTATTATATCTACAAAATACAAACAAGATTCATTCGTCCGAAATTCGCGTGTGTTCCTAGCACGAATACGTTTCCTTATTTCATGAGACCACTGCATCGCGAAGGATCGTCATTGGATCGTTCGTAGTTCTGAATTAGGGCATGCTGTCACAACGGAATTGTGAAGCTCTTCTAACTTCTGCAACGTTCTGAAATCTTGTTGAGAACACCCAAACTCTTTTGCCGTTTCTTAATCTTGGCAAGTTCATGGAGTAAACTGAGAATTATATGAAACACAATCAAACCATACAACTCCATAAGACATAACAATTAAGCAACTCCCCAGAGACATGCAACATTTTTGGAACAAAACGTAACAAAATAGTAGCGTTGATACGGTGATGTGTATTTGCAAAAAGCAATACCGGTATTATTTCCTTCAATAAAGAATATTCATCCTGCTCTAACCGAGAAATAATCTACTCAGTCTGTTTGAACCATTAAAAACATAAAAAAATTAGGCTATTTAAGAATACGAAAAATTTAAGCGCCTGCCTTCCATGGTCAGTCTTTCATGTACATTTAAGTTTGCAAAGACCTAATATTAAATACTTGCATAATTTCGAACGTTCATATTTCAGAAAACAATGAGCTAAGACTTACATGTAAGATGTCTAAATCTACGCCATATCCCTTACAAACCTTAACGATAATTCGCTGAAATACAAGTTAGCCTAATATGTCATTAAGCAAACAAACGCTGGAGTTAATATTTGATATGCCGATTTTCGCTAATTTTAGACACATTCCAAAATATGCTCCCCATTTTTAACATTAATATCTCCGTGAATTTTTAAGTTAAATGCAACTGTAATATATCAAAATCTAAGTTAGTCCTTCCTCTATTTAATGCAAGTTATTTCTCTTTAAAAACTTTACTTGTTTAGAAGTTATTACGAATCAAACAGGAGTACTTTTTTTTGGGCCACCCGGTAGCCTTGCGAAATTTGCAATTTTCAGTCATTTTGTATTACGAGCGGGAAACGGTTACCACTTTTCCAAAATTTTGATCTCAACTAACCTAAATAAAAATTTCATTACAGCTTGAAAGAGAATCACAAAATTAGTAATGTTCCAAAGTTTCGTTGCGAAATGTTGTAAAATGCGGATAATATAGCCGTGGTAACCATTTCCCGTTTGTAATCTAAAATGACTGAAAGTTGCAAACTTCGCAAGGCTATATTATCCGCACAGTTTTACAACATTTTGCAATGAAACTTTGGAATATTACTAATTTTGTGATACTCTTTCAAGCTGTGATGAAATTTTTGTCTAGACTTGTTGAGTTCAAAATTTTGGTTAATTGGGGATTGGTCCATTCTCCAAGCTGCAATGATTAGCACACCATTCACTCTTGCATGAAGGGTTGTTTTAAAGCTACATTTCCATATACTCCCTCACCAACTTAAAGTGCCACTAACCCCAGTAAAATTTTTGATATGGCTGGTATGTTTAATCATACTGTGTAATCGTATATACGAATTGAGTTTTACTTTCTGGATTTTTTTCAGTTTCGATGTTGAAGTATACGCTGCTTACATGGATAGAGCTGGCAAGATGAAAAACTCGATAAGTAAATTTATAATTTAATTTAATACATTTCTTTTGTCCAGTTTTCGGAATCGACTTTTTAGACCGTATGTCTGAACATTGCTCCTCGGACCTTAGAGATATTCCCATTCCCTATTTGTCTGATCCAAATGGCATGATTTGCCAACACTGGATCCAGAAAAATATGCCGAAATGTTTCGTTAAGTTTGTACATTTCAAAGGTATAATAATCCGTTAAGTTTTATATTGTTGGACTTTAAGCATGCAAGTCCACCCGGACCCTCACCTCCATCACAAGCTATACGTCTGTCTGTTTTGCTGCTAACTATAAAATGTTTTTGCTGCCAAGTATAATTAATTATTGGATGAGGTTTTTGTGATATACCGAGACCTTGATACTTTTGCATACCGCAAAAACCGAATTCGATAATTGTTTTATTATACATTTGTTTGTGTTCAATAGATACCACTTGCTAATCGTCGCAGGCTCATTTGCAGATAACTCAGTTATCTGCTAGCATGTAACTGAATTTTCTGTAGGTTGCGTGATTGCGCGATTTAACTGTAAGCTCTTAGCCAATCAAATTGCTTTTACCAACTACAATGTATAATAATAGCAGTTATACTGTAGTTACATGTTTTTAAATTTCTTTTAAACTCTCTTTCAGGCATATCGTTTGAACTTGATGCAGACACATTGGTTGAAGACGCGGGGAAGAAAAGAGTTCGGTTTGAAACGTCTCAGTCGCCAAGTTTACTCGTGAAAGATAAATCTGTGCTAGAAGGAACCAAGACCTCTATTTTTAAAGCTAAAGCTTATTTAAGGGTATGCATACACATTTAAAAATAAACTAAATTAAATTTGTTGGTACGGATCGTTGGCTCTTACTGTTCGGGCCGGTTGTTCAAAATCCAGTTAGAGACCGGTCACTAATAATGGGGGAAGGCGGTGGGTTAGAAAAGGAGGGCGGCTTAAACTATTTTTGCCTGAATTGGGGGCGGTCTCAAACTGAAAAATATGTGACAATTAGGGGCGTCCCCAATTTTTTAATGTTGAAAACATATTATAAAACAAAAAAGTTATTATAATTATGTTATATTTTATATAATAGAATAATATACAACTGACTTATGGAGGAATTTTAAAACTTGTTAAATATAAAACAATGCAAAAAAGTTCACCATTCAAAGGTCACCTTTTAGTCCCCGAGCCGGCGGCGCGCGAGGGTACCAATTCCCCCCGGCTATTTACATGCACCCGGGGAAACGAAAGCATTAGCGAAGTCTAAAGTTCATCTATGATCGCGGGCGTGGCTCACCAACGATGTTTCGGTGGGTGGTCATCCTCACTGATCTCAAAAATATGGCGGACTGTCATGAATAGCAGACACTGATTGGTCCAATTTAAAGTTTGCATTATAACGACTGCATGACGACAGCGAAATAGCAAGCATTTCTTGATTTGATGATTGATAAATTTCTTGCAAATATATTTCATTTTTGCTCCCATTTTTGCAAGATTTTGTAAATTTCAAAAGCTTTCTCAGAAAGAAAAGGCGAAAGAATCGGCTAAAAGAAGGGAGCCGACGTTAACGAAGGTAAGGTTGTTTTAAATATTGATTTTATATAAATTGCTTTAAAACCTGACGGCCTTTGCGTATATGAAACAACTAAACAAGACAGCATATAATTTCAGTGTATCTTTAATATTGATTCCCTTTTTTACTATATTGAATTTTTTAAATAAAAAAGAAAGCAAAGTTATTTGCATGCGAGAATTTGAAATAATTTTATTGCAAACTCAAACTTTATCGATAAAGCAATTTAATTAAATAAAGGCAGTTTAGTTTTATAAAGAACACTTTAAAACGTTTTGCGAAGCGTTTGTGGTTAAATTTTACCTTAAATTGAAGCTTATATTACGTATAATATCATACCTAACATATAAATGTTGGGAAATTGATAATTTTGTAATTAAAAGTGATATTTTTAGGCAATTTTTCATTTGTAAGAATATACTTAAAAAATTATCGTGTTACCATGACAACTACTTTAGATACTTCATGTTCGGAAAAATGCAATGGTTTTGTCAGCAAGGCGAGGGTTTCTGCCTGCATGTATTTTCTAGTATAATTTTATAGTAACTGATTTATTAAAAATAGAACCTTTGTAACGAATTAAATGTTAGAGGGTGGGGGGCCTAAATTTTCTAGATGAAGGTGGGGGCGTCTTAAAAATAAAGGTCTTTCGATTGGGGCGGCTCTAAAAAAAGTTCAATATTTGGTATTTATCACCAAACGCCCCCCCCATTATTAATGACCGGTCCCTTAGCTTAATCCTGGGTTAACAAAATCTTCAAAGCAATCTTCCCAACAGCATGTTTATAAACATGGAAATATTGCTCACGAAATCTTGTCTGGATCAGCGGAAGTTTTATTTTTTGAATGTTTGAAATAATGTAGAAATATACACACTAATTTTAACCCAGGCCCAAGGTTATTTTAACCCAGTCAATTTTAACCCAGGCCCAAGGTTATTTTAACCCAGTCAATTTTAACCCAGGCCCAAGGTTAGCGCTTATCCAGCTTTCAACAACCGGCCTCTGAACTGTTCCCCTTGAATATACAGTAAAGCCGGTTACAGACGAACACGTTTTCTATGACAAGTTTTTATGTGACAAGTTTTATTTACCAAGTGCATGTGTGTATATGCAACAAATTTTATATGACAAGTTTTCATATGAGATGTTTTATTTACTGGTGTGAACGTGTCAACAAGTTTACTTTGACAATTTATTAGTGGCCAGCAATGTAATAGGACAGCGGACAACACGAGCGCTGGCCAATCACATCAAATTCTCAGATTACTTTGACAAGTTTTCTTTGTTGACCCATACAGACGAACAAAATTTGTACTTCGACAATTTTTTCTATGACTAGTGCACTTGTTCAAAAGCTAGCATGCTAGCTTTTGAACAAATGCACTTGTCATAGAAAAAATTGTCAAAGTTGCGTGTACAGACGAGCAAATAAAACTTGTCACTTACAGTGAAAATACAAAAAGTGTCCCACTTCCGCTTCTGTAGTTTGTTGTGATTTACTGTAATTTGTTCTGTTTTTCTGTAGCAATTACCGATTTATCGGCAAATACCGCGATAAAACTTAGTTTTCTCTACTTTTTAAATATGATAACTCGTAGCAAAGGGAAATAATCCATTTTTCGTTAGTTTCATTGCATAAAAGGTACGAAATTTAAATTTTATCGCAGTATTTGCCGATAAATCGGTAATCGCTACAGAAAAACAGAACAAATTACAGTAAATCACAACAAACTACGGAAGTGGGACACTTTTTGTATTTTCACTGTAAAAACTTGTCGTAGAAAACTTGCTCGTCTGTAACCGGGTTAAAACCAGGCCATATCCTCAGGGGTTAAAAAATGCTTCAGAAATGCCGTACGAGGTCGTGTGCTCTGTAACTTGGCGTACGTTTCAACGATGTTGACGTACGATTTTCTTAACTAGTTTTATCATGCATGTTCTCCGACTTTTCAAAACACTTAACAACGTAAAATTTTCGGTATGGACTAACTTGAGCCGAAAAATTTCGATTATGGGGTCCACGCTAACTTGGATCGGAGAATGTTATAGGTATTGTCAGGGCCGCCGAGAGAATTCGCGGAGCCCGGTTCTGGGGGCCTCATGACATCATTATTTTTAAGCTAGATCAGTCACCCAACTAGACCTTAGCTAGACTGCATGTGGAGCTACTATAAGGGGCCTCAATTTCAAAAATGCTCTGAACAATTTAAAAGAACCCAGTACCTACTCAATTTTGGGCAAAGGGACTGTAGTGAGAGTACGTAACCGTACTCGTTTTCCTAGATTCGCGGCGTACGGCAAGCTGTTTTCGGCATGTAATCGTACGTCCGTACGCCGATTTTTTTAACCCTTGAATCCTGTCACGTAGGAAGCGATTGAGCTAATGGTTTGGCGAGGTCTTGTTGGTCTATTACATGATAATGATATTTATGTAATATTTTTGTGTGGCTGTCAGTGGCTTGCGACCTTTCATAAGCACGCATATGGTAATGAAAGAAATCGAAGCAACATTACTTGGTCTGACAACCCAAGGGAAATCACGACCGCGAAGGAGCAGTGACAGCATCCCCCTCTCTAATAATTTCTGAAAGCCTTTGAGTAATAGCTGAATAACTGTAACAAAGTTGCAACAATAATTTTGCAACCGTATTGTATTTGCATAACATTTAAATTTCCAGTTACAAAAGATGGTCATGCACGTATGTTGGCCCCTCCCTCCCGCCCAATATATCGGGAAGTGTCTGCCACTGCGAAGGAGTTTGTATGTCTGATACAAAATCGTACTGGTTTACCTTAACTTCATTATTCTCACCAAATATCATCCATGTCCACATTTCATCATGACGAATAACAACCTTTATTATATAAAGTACAGTATAGTGCTTTATAGAGATTTCGAGCACTGATAAAAGTGATAATCTCATATGTGAGATTATTTATGATAATCTCACATGTGAAAATTATCGCTTTTCAATTAACGCTTTTCTGTAAAAATTATCAGTTTTCAAAAACTGTCCTCCATATAATAAACAGAAAAATACATGGGTGCTTGGAAATACCAGATTTATTTCTCGTGTTGAACATGATATCACGTATTTCCGCGCACCCATGTATTATTCTCTATATATACAGCTTCGCGTCCGTGTTTTATAAGTTATTCAGTACAGCCGTTGGTGTTGTACATATTGCTTGCCTACTTTTACTCCGTACTTTGTTTTCTAATACGTAGTCTATGGAATTTTCAGGTTGATGAATGCCCTGATTGTGAAGATAAGATTAATCCGTATCCAGATATTCAACTTAAAGTTGTCGCAAAAGTACCAGAGGGTCGCCCGGCTCCCCCCACCCCTGCAACATCGGGTAATGCACCTTCACTACAACCGTACTTTGTTCTGCCTTATTCTACTGGGGAAGCGAATGTCAAAAACTACACCGAAACGAAGGTTAGTAAAATTTACGTTGCTTCATTTATCAAAGCAGGGTTCTTATACAAACAAAAATTCAGGGTTTTGAGTGTTTTCCAGGGTTTCCATGGGGAGCCTGCATGGAAATCCTGGAAAACCCTGAATTTTTGTTTTTGTCCAGGAAACGTCTTGAAAAGTTCTGGAATTTCAAAGTGACGCCTGATAAACCCTGGAAAACTCGACCTCGTTCCTAGGCTCTACTTACCCTGGTAGGAGCTCGTCACGTGATCTGCTAAAATCTAGCAGGTTTTTAATTGATGATGATGATGTTGATAAATATTTATATTTGAAATTTATTACTCGCATTTTGTTTTGCAAGTTTGATTTGATTTTACAGGAATCCAAGTTAGTTAATTAGAAATCTGCTAGATTTTAAGATTACGTGACCAGCTCCTAGCAGGGTCTTTCATCCACAAGAGGTAAGAACCTTGGGGACGAGGCTGTTGAAAACTATACCTATGTAGGCCACCGTACCCAGAACCATTTTCACTCGGTCACTCGTTCAAAATTAGGCTCTGGATTAGGCGACTAAAGGAAGAGATCTGATTGGCTTCTTAGAGAACTGCTATTTCGCAGAAGTTGAAAATATTCTATCAACATATGTCAACACAAATACTTCGTTTTTCGTAATACTTCTCTATGAATTGTTACGGGTGCTAAAGCATCCCAATCAGGGCGCTTATATATAGGGCGGCGCAACGCCAGTGATTTTGCTGATCGACGTGTGATACGGGGCCTGGTAAGCAATTTCCTGCCCTACACGGTCAGCGGTAGTCAATCTTAACTTAACATTGCTCTATGTCTTAGCAACCTGCATAGCAACAACGCTGTAATGAAAACAAATTTTAAAAGTTGTGAAATTAACTTCATTTCACCCGGTTTTTAACGTTGTTTCAACTGAGTAAGTTGTCTCTAGCTTTTTTATTATCATTATCTACCATGAACTAAACAACAATAAATAAAACGAACGAAATTTCACTTTAATATCATGTTATAGTTTAATATACAGTTTGCAGTCGATCATATTGCAGAATTTTTGAACGTCGTAACCAGTATAGCCTAGACTTACTGGAGAACTTAGCACTAGAGAGTAGAGTATAGCCTAGATTTACTAAAGAACTTAAGACCTGACTCCTAGACTTTTACATCAAATAATTAAACATTTTTTTTCCAACACAGTTTAATCTTGCAGCTTTGTTCGTCAGCACATCTTATTATCTAAAACACAAACATTCATGGAAAATCATGAGTAAAAATATACAATACCCAAATCTATTTTATACTATCAGTGTTATTATAATTGTAGTATACAATAATTCTAACACTCTCGAAGTTTTGGATAAAATAAATTGATTTTGAAGTTTTTGTTTTAAAATATAAGATTTTCCAAATTTTCCGGTTAAAACTGCTGACGACTCACTTACGACATTTTCACTGCAAAAGACTTTTGAAAGTGGGAAAGCAATGTATATGATAGCTTTTGCTTAATGTTCGACAGAAGAAACATCGACCTTCGATCGAGTCCCAGATTGCAAGTTAGTTAGAGGGCAAGAATCCATCTCAAACTATTTTATCTCGACGAATACCGCTCATAATACTTCTCGCCTAGCATCTGAAGAAGAACTACGGTGTTGGCAGAATTTTAACCTATAAAGCGCCCAGCATATTCTCAAATAACTAGGTTCGTGCTGTACAGAACTCTGTGATAAATGTGCTCTGAAAACATATTAAAAATGCTCCAATACCTATGAAACTTTAGCAATGCTTCGACATAACTAATGCAAATAACAGCCGGTCAAAATAGTTCGTATTGTTTACATCATTCAAAATATATGACCGGCAAAAGTGGGAAAAAAGGGTCTTATTTCATCCATAATATCTTCTAAGAATCCACTTCGATTTTTATGAAAGATTCAAATACGTACACATAAAATAATGAACTATAACATACCTTAGTTCGTAGGTGTTGGCAGTAGATTCACACAAGATGTCCTCATTTGAAATTTAGTCTCCATGCATGGAAGTCATAAAAAGGCACGGACATTATCGACCATAAATTCTCTTGTACAAGCTGTTTTACCATTACAGCATACAGACCCTTTAGCCAAAGAAATACTTTAGCCATTTTGCCATTTAAACCATTCTAACACCAAAAAGATTGAGGAAAATGGCCAGACGAACTGAACAACTCAAAATCGCGGTTTTCTTCAATTTCCTCAAAATCGTACTCGCCCCAGTTTTTTTCCGCATCACACGTCGATCAGCTCGCGCGCTCTCGTTGCGCCGCCCTATATATAAGCGCTCTGATCCCAATTGAAGAGCATGCGCTTTAGAAACTACTGCTGTTCCTTGTGTCCCAGGGCCTAGGGAGGACGCGCGCGGCCGAGAGGCCCTGGGGACGAGGAAGCATGTAGGCCAGATACATATGTGTAAAATTCTTAAAGGATTAAAACGTTCTGTTTCAATATGATTGATTACAAAACTTTCTTGCGCATACAGCATATCGATCTTTTTCACTTAGTGATATTAATGGATTACGATAATTATTGAAGGCTAACTTCTGGAGGTGTACGAACTCTGTCAAGGATCGTACATGATTAGGGCGAGTCAAATATGGGAACATCTTGCTCATGACTTATGCTAATTGGTCTTTATTCGTTTAAATCGTTAATTTTCTATTATTGTGTTTCGTCTATACCCAGGGTTTGAAATAACGGCTATACAGGCGCCGTCACGTCTGGTCCAGTGAGCTATATGTATATCTGGAGCAAGACCTTCAGTCGCTCGGCCTATAAGAAAAATTACCGGACAACATAACCGGTGATCCAAGGATTTGTTTGGTCGGTACTCAATTTTGACTGGACAATGTCCGTTGATTGACCGTTATTTCAACCCTCATTTTACAGTGTTAAAGTGTTATATTAAAAATTCTAGTTGTAACTGTAATGTTTTTTTAATGTTAATGGACCTTTAACCTTATAACTAAAATTTTGATCTATAGACAAAAATTTCATCACAGCTTGAAAGAGCATCACAAAATTAGTAATATTCCAAAATTTTTGTCTAGACTTGTCTAGATCAAAATTTTAGTTATAAGGTTAAATTTAATATTGGGGAGGCATCAAAGGAGGATGAGGGTGCATGAGAGTTGGTAGTCACGCGACCTTGGTTAGCTGTTCTTAATGTTTTTTTTTCTAACATTGTCATGTGTTCTATTTACAGTGAAAATACAAAAAGTGTCCCAATGGACCTTTAACCTTATAACTAAAATTTTGATCTACAGGTAGAAAGAGCATCACAAAATTAGTAATGTTCCAAAATTTCGTTACGAAATGTTGTAAAATGCGGATAATATAGCCCTGCGAAGTTTGCAATTTTCATTCTTTTTAGATTACAAACGGGAATTGATACCCAAATCGGGTGTTTGGGTATCAATTTCCCGTTTGTAATCTAAAATGACTGAAAATGGCAAACTTCGCAAGGCTATATTATGCGCATTTTACAACATTTCGTAACGAAACTTTGGAATATTACTAATTTTGTGATGCTCTTTCAAGCTGTGATGAAATTTTTGTCTAGACTTGTCCAGATCAAAATTTTAGTTATAAGGTTAAAGGTCCATTCTGCTTCTGTAGTGATTCACTGTAATTTGTTGTAAGTTCAAACATTAAGTTGGAACGCTCACAAACCTTTACTTTTGTCAATCTAGAGCTTGAAATGTCCCTTGTAACAATGCGTGACTGCCTACTCTCATCAACTCTTATCCTCGTTTGGCCGGGGCTTTACGCTGTTGCGAATCCTCGCCATTAACTGTGTATAATATGGTTGTACTGTTTATTGCACTCTTGTCCCAATACCCTCGTTTACATGTGGTAATTACCTCATGTTTCGGATAAAAAGTACAAGGATAAACTTGTGATTGGGTTCAAGATTGTGTATAATTGTAAGATTGTGTTCAAGATTGTGTATTGGGTTCAAGATTGGTGATTGGGTATAAGGATAAACTTGTGATTGGGTTCATATACTATAAGGATAAACTTGTGATTGCGTTCAAGATCAAAGAGAAACATATTCGTGGAGGGGAAATGGGGATATAACCTTCTTGTGCACTTGCCATACAAAAACAGGCAAACATGAAAATGGGCGCTATTGGGGCAAACATTCAATAAAACGTAAAGTTTCTTTTGTAAAAGTATGCAAAGCAATATTAATAATTGAGCTCCCAAGTCACTCAGTCAGCGTTCCCTTACCACGAAAGTCATGGTGTACTGGTTGATGCATGGCGTTTGGCAGCGGCGGCGGAACAGATTTCGTTCTGGGGGGGGGCTAAATTTTTTCGGCGACCCCGTCGCCAAAAAATTTCGATCAGTGTACCACTTTAGGGGTACAATATACAAAAAAAGGGCGAAAAAAAATTTTTCGGACTTATATCAAAAAATTTTTTCGGAAATACACTTTTTTTAAACAAAATATTGCAAATTTGTCCCCTTATACCTAAATTTTCAAAAAATAACCTAAATTTTTACTTCTGGGGGGGGGGGCTTTAGCCCCCCTAGCCCCCCCTGTTCCGCCGCCCCTGGCGTTTGGTATATTACTATAGATCGTCAGTTCAAAACAAGACATCATATTTGAGTTTTCTCTCATCTAATGATTAATATGCTTTGACTGTAGTGTTTCTCCCGAGCTGCAAAATGTTAGTCAGTTATCGGGCGAGCCGGCGAGGGCTGGCATTAATGTATTTCTATTTTGTAGAATGGACTGGTGAATAAAACTTAAGAAGCAAATTGCCTCTTTAAAGGGGGCTAACTATATTTAGCGATATTTTATGATGCTGTCTGTGAATCTTTCTATAGATCCAAGTAAAACGCGCTTGTGATCCCTGCAAACCAAATCTGATGATCAAAAATATCGGAACCACGTAAGTATGATTCTTATTAGTTCCTGGGGCACCCAGCAGCTCTAAATTTGCCCTTTGGTTTATGTCCAATGTCAGCTGTCGTATTTTTTCAGTCACAAATCAACCTTGTACCTAGTCCTTCTGTGCTTGTTTAACATGCAAGAAGCCAGGGACGCCGGAACGATGATAGGGCAAAGGGGGGCGGACGCACACCAAGGGCACCTTTACTGAATTTTTTTTTTCACTGGCGACCTTCCCCCGTCGCCAAGAAAATTTCGGTCAGTGTACCATTTTAGGGGTCAAAAATTTTTTCCGTGAAGCCAAAAATTTTCCGTGAAGCCAAAAATTTTTCCGGATATCTTAAATTTTCGCCATTTCTTCCAAATATTTTTCTAAATTCCAAAAATTTCCCAAAATTTTTATAAATATAAACTATAAATTACCTGAATCTCGTGATTTTCCTACAAAAAGCATCGTTGGAAATGTGATTTATCACGTATTATTTTACAACTAAAAGGGCACTTCTGCCCCCCCTGCCCCCCCTAGCAAAAGGCAAGGGGGGCAGCCGCCCCCCCTGCCCCCCCTTCCCAGTTCCGGCGTCCCTGCAAGAAGCCCAAGGAGCTACACATGAACCTTGCTGTTGCGATCTTCGAAAAAAGGCAATTCAATGCTAGTGGTTTGCAGCGAAAATTGTGTACAGATTGCACTAAACATCGCCTGTGACCCGAATAAGTTTACACGACATAACTAACAAACCGCTCTTAAGGCCCTGTCACACTATTGCGTATCGTACTAGCGTATGCCAGCGTATGAAAAATATCACTCGTACGCCGGTATACGCTGACATACGCTATAGGGGTACGTTAGGCATAGGTTGTACCGTTGTATACGTTTCAAGCACGGTCGCATACGGTATCATACGCTGGCATACGGCGAGGCAGAAATCTTTTTTTTAAGCATGCTCAAAAATTTTGTGCGTATTCGGACGTATGGTGTATATGATAAGTATACTCTAGGCACACGCTGTATACGCTAGAGGTACGCCAGATGTACGGTACTCATACGCCGGCATTTCAAAGGATTTTTGTACGTATGAAAATTATTTCATTAATTTCATACGCTTCTCATACGTTTCTCTCATACGCACTAGTGTGACAGCTGGGCCTTTAGGAGCAATGGTGGCACTAATTATTACATTACGCAATGTAATGTTTTATTCTCTATAGGTCAAATTCAAGAGATTTCTCAATCAAGCAAAAAATAGATGTTTAGAGTATTTTTATATTTTAATATTGAAATGATTGTATTAACATTTACTCCAGGAAAATCCCAGTGCAAGCTAAAGATATAAAGCTTAATGTACAAGTCGGCAACACTGCAGATCAAGCGTTTGGTGTGTCTTTGACAGTACATCTTCCATCTCCCCTAAGTGTACGACTTTGTGGAACAGACGACGTTGGGGTAATGTGATATAGAATTGTACTCATATATATATCTTGAGCGTTGCATGTCTGCAGAAATGAGAGAGTCGTGGAGCAACGCTACCTCCATAATCTAAAGCATGGTCTCTTCATTTTTATGATATGTATCATCATCCGGTCATACTTAAATCTATGATATATATGATACAGGTACACTTTTATGTCTGATGCATATCATCAAACAGACACATTGATAACCTACATTGATAACCTGACCCTCCCCCTCCTTATTCTAACGCTCCCCCCCCCCACCCCAACACACACACACTAACCTTCACCCAACTCCAAAAGTCATGCGATGGCAGTGGAACGTGCCACCTTAACTTGCAGTTACTTGTTAAGGTTACAAGATACGCCTTAGCTAAGTAACCCCTAAAGCAATAATAAAATGCGAACATCCTTTTTTAGAACAATCCTCGATGGTAAAAATGATAGTCTGACAGGATTTAGGGAAACCGGCGTTTGATGTTATAACACTTCATCTCTCTTTCTACATTAGGCGAAAATATATTTTGGTTTGCAGGGATTAGTTGTTCAAAAGCTGGTTAGCTTAATCCTGTGAGCGCGGGTTTCTTGGCCAGGAGAAACGTCCCACCAAGCGGCGGGATCATGAACATGCCCTAAAGTGCGATACCGAATACTTTAAGTTTGTAAATGTTCACAATGCTATTTTCTATTTTGTAGTGTCTATTTGGTAGCCCTAAATGTGAATTTCCCAACAACAATTCACGAATAATGATTTGTGATCTTGGAAACTTCGCGAAAACAACTGAAGTTAGTATTCGTGAACATATGACGTAGAGCTTATGCTGTAATTTCATACTATACTTTTTAGAGTCGCCACTAACCCATATGAACTGGTTTTGTGATAGATAATAATAATAGTAATAATAATAATATTAATATTTACTCAAGAAGCTCCACTCACCGAAGTGTTTATTATAACAATAAAACACTATAAATAATAGGTCTATTATAACAATGAAACACAGTGCAACCAAAGAATAAATTTTCTAAAGAACAAATCACAAACACTTTATTTACGCAATTCAATCATAAAGCATGTATCTCTCCTGAACATAATAGCAGATATATGGTACATCAAAGTCGAAATTTGGCTAAGAAATCCTGCTCCGATAATCTATCCGCTTCAATTCGGTTGAGTAGTGATGAAATACTAAGGATTTATGATTGTTAGGTAGCTTATTACAAATTGAAAGTATATCTCGGTTGCAAAGTGGTTGGTGCACCTCATGGTCTAGGCAGTCTGTCGCATGTTTGAGAGTCACGTAATATTCTATTTGGGCCTTTTATCTTTTTCTTTGCCTCAAATTTATAGCATTAAATAAAAAACTTTGCCAACTATATTTTGAAATAATTCATTAGTTCACCTCATTAATGTTCAGTACATGTACGTATGCATGTACAATCTACGCATGCTCAGTTAAGATTAGATGTTAAGTTCTGGCTGCAATTTCCTATGGTGAACACAGGTTTAGGTATCAATATATTGCAATTATATCATGTAGTCCTTTTGTAGAAGCAAGACGGGACACGTTTAAGCTAGAAGTGAAGTGAAAGTCAGATTTTGTTGAATACTTTGTCGTGAAACTTTTGTCCACTGTCTACTTGTTTAGGACTACACCATAAAGTTGGATACAAGTGAAGCTTCAAACTCCCTTCAAACCTACCTGGTTACAATGAATGTCACAAGGTACATCGTAGTTGTGGTAGAATGAAATTTTGATATATATTTGTGAGACTAATTAATAATTCATGAAGAAAACACAAAAGAAATCATTACCGTGAACTGGGGAGTTTCTCTAAGATACAGAATCATGCTGATTTTACACAAACCAAATATCATTCACTTAATTTAAATTGTTGAAGAATACGAATGTTCTCATTAAGACGTTCACAACATTTCCGTTCGTGTTATATCGGATATACAAACATCCGATACAACACGGCCGCTCGTGTTGAAAATAGTATTTAATTCACTTGTATAAAAATGTCATCGAACTTAATTGATTTTCTTTCTTAGTAAAAACAAAGAGGACGCATCGCTACAGGGTGATAACTCTCTTTCTTTGGAACTTAATGTTGCTTCAGAAGCTAATATTGAAATGAGGTAAGGGGTGACTGTACTTGTTTATTATGACAACTAACTGAAAAATACAAGCAGAACTTCGACGTTTCTAACCCTGTTAGTATTGTAGGGTGCTGTTTGTATTGTAGGGTGCTGCTTGTATTGCAGGGTGCTGCTTGTATTGCAGGGTGCTGCTTGTATTGTAGGGTGCTGCTTGTATTGCAGGGTGCTGCTTGTATTGTAGGATGCTGCTTGTATTGCGGGGTGCCGCTTGTATTGTGGGGTGCTGCTTGTATTGTGGGGTGCTGCTTGTATTGTAGGGTGCTGCTTGTATTGTAGGGTGCTGCTTGTATTGTAGGGTTCTGCTTGTATTGTAGGGTTCTGCTTGTATTGTAGGGTGCTGCTTGTATTGTAGGGTGCTGCTTGTATTGCAGGGTGCTGCTTGTATTGTAGGGTGCTGCTTGTATTGCAGGGTGCTGCTTGTATTGTAGGATGCTGCTTGTATTATAGGATGCTGCTTGTATTGTAGGGTGCTGCTTGTATTGTAGGGTGCTGCTTGTATTGTAAGGTGCTGCTTGTATTGTAGGGTGCTGCTTGTATTGTAGGGTGCTGCTTGTATTGTAGGGTGCTGCTTGTATTGTAGGGTGCTGCTTGTATTGTAGGGTGCTGCTTGTATTGTAGGGTTCTGCTTGTATTGTAGGGTGCTGCTTGTATTGTATTGTATTGTAGGGTGCTGTTAGTATTGCAGGGTGCTGCTTGTATTGTAGGGTGCTGCTTGTACTGCAGGGTGCTGCTTGTATTGTAGGGTGCTGCTTGTATTACAGGGTGCTGCTTGTATTGTAGGGTGCTGCTTGTATTGTAAAGTGCTGCTTGTATTGTAAGGTTCTGTTTGTATTGTAAGGTGCTGGTTGTATTGTAGGGTGCTGGTTGTATTGTAGGGTGCTGGTTGTATTGTAGGGTGCTGGTTGTATTGTAGGGTGCTGCTTGTATTGTAGGGTGCTGCTTGTATTGTAGGGTGCTGCTTGTATTGTAGGGTTCTGCTTGTATTGTAGGGTGCTGCTTGTATTGTATTGTAGGGTGCTGTTAGTATTGCAGGGTGCTGCTTGTATTGTAGGGTGCTGCTTGTACTGCAGGGTGCTGCTTGTATTGTAGGGTGCTGCTTGTATTACAGGGTGCTGCTTGTATTGTAGGGTGCTGCTTGTATTGTAGGGTGCTGCTTGTATTGTAGGGTGCTGCTTGTATTGTAGGGTTCTGCTTGTATTGTAGGGTGCTGCTTGTATTGTATTGTATTGTAGGGTGCTGTTAGTATTGCAGGGTGCTGCTTGTATTGTAGGGTGCTGCTTGTACTGCAGGGTGCTGCTTGTATTGTAGGGTGCTGCTTGTATTACAGGGTGCTGCTTGTATTGTAGGGTGCTGCTTGTATTGTAAAGTGCTGCTTGTATTGTAAGGTTCTGTTTGTATTGTAAGGTGCTGCTTGTATTGTAGGGTGCTGCTTGTATTGTAGGGTGCTGCTTGTATTGTAGGGTGCTGGTTGTATTGTAGGGTGCTGCTTGTATTGTAGGGTGCTGCTTGTATTGCAGGGTGCTGCTTGTATTGTAGGGTACTGCTTATATTGTAGAGTGCTACTGCTTATCAATGTCAATATATTGTTCAATTACCAATTATATTTCCCATTTTAACATAGATTATCATGTAGATTATCAGGGCTCGAAATAGTGGGCTGCCAGTGACCAAAAGCAGGCCATATTTTAGAAATGGCAGGCAAAAGCAAATTTGAACTGCCAAGTAAAAAAAAATGGCAGGTGAAATTCTATAGATATATTTCATTTCATTTGCTTACCACAACTCATATATACTAGATCATTTAGTTGACTAAATACGTGTATATAGTTGAAATGTAAATGAAAGTTTAGTGTAGTAAGATAGACAAAAATGCATACATGAAAACATTGATTTTTACAATATCACTCATATGAGACATCGCCATTTTGGCAGTTCAATGAATAAAAATGGCATGCTAAGAATTTATTTCACCTGCCAAAAAATTTTAGACTGGCGGGTCATATACCTCCTCTACTCCGAGCCCTGTCGATTATATTTATGTATCGTAGCAATTCAAACGTTATGTTTGATTTTTCTTCTAAGATCAGTATCGAAGCCAGAAGGACGGCTTTATGGTGGGAGTGTTCGTGGTCAATATTCTATGACAAAAGAAGATCAAATTGGTTTGATAGTTGATCATACATATACTGTAAGTATAAACGTTTATTGTGTAGTGAGATACTGAAGAATACACAGTGAGAAATTTTCCATATCTCAAGATATCGATCACGTGACTTTTTTCAATTTGCTTTTGAGCGTGAAATTTCACAACTTTTTGCTTGGAACTATATAATAAACAGAACATTGCACGGTGGCTTGAGGATATATGACTTTCATCTTCTCGTGTTAAAAACAAAGATAAAAGTCATACCTTCGCCGTGCAATACCCTCTATATATCGCACTTAATAAAATATAATCCGGGTCGTATCCACAGGTTATTTGGACACACCCGCCGGTCACTCACGGCATTGAGCGACAACGGCGAGAGAACTCGTGCATATGGGTGTGTCCAAATTATAGAGAAATTATGTGGGTGCCCAAAAGCATGCCACCTTGATTTTAGTGTCTTGTTTGGTCATTTTCTTAGAGGAGATTTTTGAGAGCTATGCACTTTAATGTCTCATTATGCAGTTTCCGTTTCATCGGTCGTCTCATGGTTTATACTAGTATATACTAACTTTGGCACTTATTGACTGGTATCTTCAGAAAACAGCATGTTTTGTGGACCCACTGTGGTGGACCCTAGACCGGTGGGACCTTCGGGAAACAGCATGTTTTGTGGACCCTAGACAGGTGGAACCTTCGGGAAACAGCGTATTTTATGGACCCAAGACCCGTCAGTCGAGGGCTACAGTAATACAGAGTAAATTACAGTAATAAATGACAACAGAGTACAAAAGCAGAAGTGTGCAGGATTTAGTGTTTTGGCTGTAAAGGGAAAAAAGAAAAAAGAACGCTCCATAATTTTTTCTCCATCACTGAACAAATGTATTATTCATCGGTGAATAAAAGTAAGCCAGGAGACAGTCGAATTTTATTATTTTCACGTGGATAAGCTCTCGTCCAATGAGATGCAAGAATACATGAACCTTGACACTTACATTTCTTATAAAACTATACAACATAATTCAATAAGCATCGAATTACAGGATGTCAAAATTTAATTAAATCGGCCTGGATGTGCAAAGACTATTCTAATGAGGTCATTCAGACGGCTTATCATGACATAAGGATTGTTTAGGATTTAATTTACTTCCACTATTTTTATTAACTTTAAATAGATTAAGAATTTTTGAACGTCTTTTAAAACTGTTCAGGTAACGTTAAAATAAATAACCACATCAAACAACCGAGTATTACATATAAGGAATGGGAACGAGTTTAGGGATGAAATATCCGCGTTTTCGCCGATCTCGTACCCAGACGAACGATTGAGTTTTCGCAATTATCGTCATGGACATGCTCGGGGTTTCCAGCTTGCAAGTCGAATAATTATAGATGTTTTGTGATTACGCGGGTTGAGAGAAACTGAAAAGAAGATAATTGTGTCATTTTTGTGGCTAGCCCGTTTGCGGGCTAGCCATTATCACATAGTACACACTACACAAACGCGATGAGCGATGATGATCATGGTGTCCAGTCCGGATTTTCGTAAAGTATCGGGAGCAATCGGAAGCGCCCGTATTTTTCTGCCGACATTTCACATTTGCATTTCGAGGCAATACTAGTGATGTTGTTAGTTTGTTACGACGCAGTACTGGTGAGGTTGTTAAACCAGAAAATTAAAATAAAGTTTATCTTCATGGCTTCAACCTATGGTGACGAAACCGATCAGAAATTGCGCGTACTCGCCGTGTAAATATGGGTTTTGATTTGCACTTTTGACTGATTTGCGGGCCATTTGCCATCTTGAATTGTCTTCTTGTTGAGATTTCATATCTCAATTGCATTCGAAATGTTTGGTATTTTAAAGAAGGGGTATTGTTTGGAGGAGGTACGTTTATAATGCAGCGAATAAAACCAGCATTGGATAATTATGGTAAAAGACCAGAAACTGTACATCGTAACATCGAACTCGTTTATTTAAAGGCTTTAAGTATACCTTTCTTCAGACATTGACGGCGTCTCAAATGTCTACATATTTGTAATAAACCTATAAAGGTTATTGCGTCTGTCTTAGGAGTTATATAGTCGAATAATTCAGCATGATTTGTCTCACGTTCTCTTATAAGTTGACTAATATTGCATTAAAAGTGGCAAAAGTTGGTGTGCTAACCAAGATTCCAGTGTGTTTGTTTGCTAATATTGCTAGGCCTATATCTCAAACGCTATTTGCCTATTAAAATATCATATGACACGCAATTTTAATTCCACGGCAAAACTGCTGTTGCGCAAATAACAAACGCGAGATTAAATAAATATGGCAGTATTACAGTTTAGTAATATTGCATTAAAAGTGGTAAAAGTACAGTGCTAACCAAGATTTCAGTGTATTTGTTTGCTAATGTTGCCATATCTCAAACGCTATTTGCCTATTAAAAATATCATATGACACGCAATTTTAATTCCACGGCAAAACTGCTGTTGCGCAAATAACAAACGCGAGATTAAATATATGGCAGTATTACAGTTTAGGTATCTTTTAAATTGCTAATAGATCACACGGAAACTTTTTACAATCGTTATATTCAAAAGCCTAGCGCGCAAATTCACATATTTGTGTTTATTCAAGTGTTATTCATGAATTCGCTATTTACATGGGAAGCGACGAGATATGACACGGTATTT